GGGGCGCCCGGGGAGCGGCGTTTCGCTCGGGAAAACCGTTCGGACCTTAAAAAATATGACATTGTGGCCTTTTTAGATGTTTGGGATTGGTAGTAGTAGTAGTTGATTATTATTATTATTATGATTATTATTTATTATTATAATCACCATTATTATTATCATTATTATTATTATCATCATTATCATTATTATTATTACTATTATTCAGCTGTTGCACCGGCTGCCGAGGGGCTTCAGAGCAGCGCCCGTAGCCCCCTCTCGACCCAACCCAATTAAGCGCTGAAGCTGCAAATAAAAAGAGAATTAAACCCAACGTTGTACGAAAATGGATGCAGCCAGCCGCAGCAACTTTAATAATTAATAATAATCATATTCAGGTGCATAGAGCAGTTACGGGGAAAATCCTCGCTTATCTTTCCAGTGAGTAAAACTATTAAAAGTTACAGATTTGGAGGTAGATATTATTTTCTTTGCATGCCCGGAGAAATGAAAAAGCTATTGAGATTTTTGTTGTGTTTTCTTCTTTATTTTTTTTCCCCCTCTTGTTGGGAGAATTTTTTCCCTTTTCTATTTCTTTTCCTTTTTTTTGTTTTCTTTTTTTTTTCTTTTTCCTTTTTTTTTTTTTTTTTCCTCCTCATAACTAATCGGGGCGACACGCTGCCTGGAAGGAACCAGAATAAAATTCCTCCTTCAGTCCAAAATCACGGGGCAAAATCTCACGGTTTCGGGGAGTAGGATCTCGGCTTCGCTTTGCTGTTTGGGGCAACAGAGAGAGAAAGAGAGAGAGAAATTCGTAGTGTGGTTCGTCTGTGTTACAACCTCGGAGGTCCTGCTCGGGCCGTCGAGTGGCACAGCTGAGATTTCTGATGGTAATCTAAAAAGGAAATAGCTGCCATTTGGGAGACGCAACCCTTTCCACCGCAGCCTTTTACCTATCCCTAAAAAGCGAATTTATCCCCGATTTCAATCGCTGCTTCGTCAGAAAGTCTGAGGAAGGGCTGACTAACAAGGATACCCCAGAGATAAATTATCCCTTCGAATAAGGTTATCGGCGTTAAAATTGTAGAAGCGCTTTCCAGACGTGAAAATCTAGGTGTGTGACAGAGAGATAATTGATTAAAGGGGAGAAAAAAAATAAAAAGGAAAAAAATTAAAAGGAAAAAAATTAAAAGGAAAAAAAAATAAAAAGGAAAAAAAATTCCAAACCAATTTGTCTGAGAAAAAATTCCGCCCTGCGAAAAAAAAAAATAAAAATCCCCCTGTGGCCGTGAATCGATAGGAGAGCAAGAAAATGCCTTGACGCCCCGTCACCCACCCCACCGTGCTGCGGGGTTAGTTTATCTTTAGGTTAAATCTGGGACATATTAAGCGTTCCGCGGTTCCCGAGCCTGCCTGCTCTGCCTGCTCCAGCCGCGACGGCATCTGAGGGGAATCAGATGTGCCAGGAGCGGCCGGGGACGCGCTAAATCCCAGGATCTCGCCCCACTTTAAACGCCGTGGCGGTGGGGACGAGATCGATAGAGGGAGAGGAAAGAAGGAAAGAAGGAAGGAAATGGATGTTATCATCTGTCCGAGGGGCGCTCGCCCGTCCGCCCGCCCTCCCGGCTCCGACGGCACCTTCCACCGCCCCGCTCCGCGCTCCCTCCGCCGCCGCGGGGCCACGAGCCCCACCGCCACCCCTGAGGCCCGCGGGGAGCAGGTACCGACCCCCGCCCGGCCGCGGAGGAGCGCGGGAGGAGGAGGAGGGTTGCGCTCCGGGTCCGGCGTAAGAACGGCGGGGGGCGCGGAA